TCAGACAAACTAATTAGAAAAGTAGTTTAAATACAGTTTTAATTATGTCATTGTTAATTAGTAATTAATCAATTTTTTAGTAGTAACGCACTAAGTATTATTTTATATTTTGCAAATTTTCTATACACACACAACCATAGGCACACAACTGCATCTTGCACACTGCATTAAATTTACATAGGAAAATAATTGGTAGCATGCCATTCCAACTCATCAATCTTTGGTCAGATAAAAAAAAAACTGTACTGGAAAATAGCGAGATAGCAAGAAGAGGCCGGAATGGCAGGGAAAAGAAGGCTGATTTCCATGCGGCTCGGCACTGTCAGATTGAATTAGCTCAGGTGTAATTAGAGCGCTGGAGAGCGTCCTGCTTTGGCTGCGGTGTGCGACGGGGCAGCATGGCTCTACACTGAAGCCAGCTGATACCGAGCCGGGCCGCTATCACCATGCAAACACACGCCTCCAACATCGCAGGCGAGCCGCAAATCCAAGCATGAAATTAGCAGTCACTCAGATCATGCCCGCATACTTGCATATTTCACTTTGTGTGTTTTCTGCTTTGTGTGTCTAGCCTATGTGTGTATTTTAGAGGAAGCCGGAGTTTTTCAGTGGCTAGCTGGAGTTTAGGTCTGCTGGAAGGAGGTTAGGTGTTTGCAAACAGTGTGAGTGCTTAATTAGTCACTGTTTTGTCAAAGTCAACATGAAAATGTAATTTTGTTATATTTCTCATTTTCTTATTTTTTGATGAATTGGTACACGTGAATTTTAAATCATTCCATGTCTGAGTTCAAACTTTTTCATATTTTACCCTGACCAAATAAATTGTGATAAATAAAATGAAAAAGTCCAGTTTAGCAAGATTACTTAAGAAACTTGCTGTTTGTAATATTAGCATTAATATGTTATATTATTTCAACAAACACAATTTTTACAGCAGATTACATTATATTTTCACTAATCTGGAAGAATGCTAGTCAAATTAATGTAAAAAACATATTTTATAAAATAATATTACGCTCCAAAAATGTATTCTTATTTATTTACCTTTTTCCAGTTCAATAAACTCTTCATTCTTAAATTAAATCATTCTTAAATTAAGTTGAAAACATACGTAAGATACAAAGTTTTGTTTCTGAAAGGCTGGTCTAACTTAAGTGAGATTACAATGTCCTTATTTGCTTATTAAAATATGATTAAAATATAGTATGAAACAGATTTATTTAGTATTAAGTTCACAGTAACTTACTCCTATATTTAGCTGATGTGAATAATTGATTAAACATTATCACAGTTTATCACAGAAATTTACCATGAAGCATTTTAAGGCAGTTATTTTCAAATAATAAAAACCTCATAAGCAATGTTTATTGTCTGTACAGTATTTAATTTTATCATAAAGCGCTGTCTCTAATCAAAGGATTTCAATATAAACGCACACGGTCGAATTCTGTGAAGTTTTCCTGTTATCTAAGCTGCTATCCACTTTCATTAAACACCAAAGGAATTTTCAAGGACTTATTTTCATGAGTTAAAATCTAAATGACTTGTCAATTTAAGTCTATACGCTGGTGAAGGAGTAACCACTGAGACATAACACAGTCATCTTCTGATGTAAGCTGGAGTTTTTTTGTTTTTGCTACTAGATCAATGATGAAAATGACCTTGTTCAGCACATCTGTGTCTCCTTTCAAGCACCCAGTCAGTCACTCCCTTTGCTCCTACAAAGAGGCCATTCATAAAGCTAATGAAAAGAGTTTTCTAACCCCAATCACAAAATCATAGAACCCCAATACATGCACTCACACACAGTCATACCAAAAATTATTTACTAGATTTCATTTTAGATTGTTTTTTTTTTTTACTAATGGCTACAGCCCAGCAGGCACCCTGATGTAAAAACATGTCAAAATGTAAATCGATTTGATGTCAAAAACCTGATGTCCATTTGACATCCATATATTGATGTCCCATTGATAATATTATAGGAAATGTTTTAATCATCTGAAAGCTTCGATCTAAAATTTACAGTGCATTTCGTACCCCTACAATGCATCTAACTGCTTTGAAGTTTGAAAAACGACATCAAATTGACATTTCAAATTGCCAAAATTGTGTTTTTGATGTTATAACTGAAAACACTTAAGTTTAAGTACTAATTCTGTAACATTGGCAATAGTAAATGTTGGCTGTTTATTTTTACATTTAAAGTGCATATTCTGCTTGATCTTATTCTACATAATCCTACCTGATACTTAAACTCAATTACTTGCTATTAATAAGCAGCAAATTAGAAATTGATTTATTTGTTGAGCTAAAATTATAGTTAATAATTCATAAAGGGTGAAAACTCTACCTTAAATCACTGGTTCCCGAAGTGGGGGTCGTGGGAAAATGACAGGGGGTCGCTTGGTGATTATCAAAAGTCAAATAAATTTTATTAAACTATTAGAATTACTATATTTTATCCATAACCCACATAAAAATAGTAGTTAATACATACATAAAAAAGCAACACATGCAAATAAAAAAGCCATCAGCCTTTTTTTATTTCTTCATAAGGTTGTGTGTTAGATTGGATTGGATTTTACGTTAAATTAACACCACAGTTGGATTTTATAGCACCAGGTTAAACTTTCTGACAGCTTTCTGGCAATCAAACACATTACAAATAAATAGAGGCCACAACTACACATTGAGGATGATCTCTGAGTGGCGGTCCCCAAAATTAAACCAAGAATAGAATTGTGCTGAAAACATTGTACCCACCAGTTTCATTAGATGAGGGTTAATATTATATGAAACAAATTAATAAATGACTATATAAATTATAGACTGTGGTTGTTAGACTGTTGTTATGATTGTTAGACTGTGTTGTCAATATGCTCATGCTTATTTAAGCCTACTGTTGTGTGTGCAGTATTTGTATTTGTAACCACCTCAGAGGAATGTGGGGATGGTGAGTCACTAGCATTGTTATTTTGCCTTAAATTAAAGTGTAATCCTTTACATACTGTACCTTTCTATCAATATTGATTACCATTATCTAGAGCAGGGATCACCAACCCTGTTCCTGGAGAGCTACCTACCTGCAGAATTCAGTCCCAACTCTGATCAAACACACCTGAACCAATTAATAGTACCTAAAGCAGCACTTGATAATTACAAACAGGTGTGTTTGGTCAGGGTTGCAACTAAAATCTGCAGGAAGGTAGCTCTCCAGAAACAGGGTTGGTGACCCCTGATCTAGAATAAAGTGAATAAACTGTGATAATGTGAGAAATTCTGTGACAAACATTGAAGGTGTCTAAATAAGTTATGATTAGCTTCTATAAACACAGAAAAAAATCTCACTAATTTGATCAGCTCATGAAAAATATTAATGTTATTCAAAATTTAGGAGACTTTGTCAAGTTTTGTTCACCTCAGGAGACAATTTAGCACCCTCCTTTGGCAAATATACATCCGTCCTTACAGCGTTCAGCCCTGTAAACACGGAAGGCAGATTATTTTTAATATCAAAGGTGAAAACCGAGTCTGTTTAATTTCGTTCAGGTGGGTGCTGTTCCTCCGTGCCCCCTGATTGAAGAAAAAAACATTAATATGCAAATATCAAAGTACATGTACAGCTGGAAGGGAAAAGGACTCTCTTGATAGAATGTAGCCAATGTCTCCCCTTTTTTGACAGAGGAAAGAAATTAATCAAACAGAGAAAAATGAACTTTGTGATTGCACGGGTGTACCACCCAAAGGCATGGCAAAGCAAATGAAAAATCAACATTGTACCCACTGATAAGGCAAATTAATAAGAAAGTGTGCTATGTCTACCTTCAATGGCGCTGCTTGCGTGAACAAGTTATCTCAGAGCAGACGTAACCTTAGGCTTTGGATCGGTTCCTGTGTTGGCTTTGCTTGAACACTTTGCTGTTACGTTCGTATATAGTTATATGGAAGGTACAAAACATTACAGAGCTGTCATATTTGGCATGCTACGTGTTGGTATGTGACTTTTTAGTGCTGATTTCATATTGCAATGTTTGATGGACTTGGAGTCATGCGGCTTGCTGGTTGCACAACATACACTTCACGTTTTTTATCATACAGTTGAAAAAATGTGTTTTGATTTAACTGTATAATAAACTACCTGATTGTCTATCTCAAGAAGGACTAAATGTGCACTTACTGTACTGTACTTTAACCCAAAAATGACTTGCTTACCTTTTATTTGTTCTACCCTTTGTTTCTTGCTTCTGTTAAACTTAAAAGAATATATTTTGAGAAAAGCTATAAACCTGCAATCATTGACTTCTATAGTAGTTGTGTTTCTATGGGAGTCAATGGTTACAGGTTTTCAGCTTTCTGTAAAATATCTTCAGAACAGAAGAAATAAACTTTTGTAACACTTTTTTCGGGAGGTTTGAAACCACTTGAGGGGAAGTAAATAGAGAGTGAATTTTAATTTAGGGGTTAACGTAAAATCTGTTTAAAATGTTGTTGTTGTTGTTTTCGCTTAACACACTTGAAAGCCATCTAATTCGATAAATATATATATTTCTATATAAGTACAACATAATTGTTTAAATAATTTTTTTAAACAGTTATTTTCACAGTCGTTTTGATTTAGCTGTATTTAATAAACTACAGGATTGTCTGTCTCAAGAAGTTCAACTTGTTGTATTGAATTTTTATTTATTTTTTTATTTTTAAAGACAATGTTAGCCATTTTGATAAATAAAATATCAGACAGTGTGTTTAAGCCCAAGGTAAGTGGCTCAAAAAAAACACTTTACTTTCATTTAATTTAATTGCATTTTAAGAATACTAAATGTTAATTTAACCCCTGTTAAACATGCAGTTAAATATCCAAAAAAATATAATGCATTGAGTTCATGATAATGCATATAATTTTAAAGTCAATGTTTCCATAATAAGCCTTTTTTTGTAAAGTGTACATTGGTAATTATTTCTCAATGCTGTGCATTTGTTTGTCTATTATTTGACAGGAGTGTTTGAAAATGGGCTTGAGGCGGACTCTGAGGAGACGCTGTGTGAGAAGAAAGAGATTTTAAAAGAAGAAGACCAGTCTGTGGAGGACGACCCAATTTACTTCTCTGACCCAGAGAACGGCATCTCTAAAGATGGAGATCACTCGAGGAACGGTGAGCTCATTTACCATCAAAAGCATAGCTAGAGGAAACTTTAACTGATCAGAGCTTGGCTTTCAAATACATTTTAGCATGCTGTTGATATGCTGTTGGTTTTCACAAGGAGTGACACATAAATTCATTTTTTAGCAAGGGAATGAAACTTTACCAATGTTTTAAAAGAATGGTTCATTAAAAAAAAAAATAGTTACAACTTGACTTTCTTTCTTTAGATGAACACAAAATTAGTTATTTTGAAGAAATCTGTTAACCAGTAGCTATTGACTTTATAGAATTTGTTTAAAATGGTCTGAGGTTGAATGGGACAGATTTTTTAAAGATAAAGAGATGTAGCTTTTGACCAACGCAGAAAAGGAAGTTGGGCAGCTGATTATTAACATTATGGTTTTAGCTGAAACATATGAAGTTATGACAGTTTTATAGAACAACAAATCTCATAAAAAAGTGTGAATTATGAATGTGTTACGACAGACATGTCTGATTTTTTTTTTTTTAAAGTGCCACAATACACATACAATTCGGCGGAATGCATAATTTTTTAATTATTTTCTTTTTTTTTTTTTAAATATTTAAACAAAAGTGTATGCTAATTTAGTAGAGGAATGCATTCTTTGCATTGTATTCCACAATCCTCAGTAAATATTAAAAGTATCATACCTTTTCCAGAGCCCGAAATCTTTTCCCACCTTCCCACCGCGGCCGCTTTAGCTCAGAGCAGTGTTTGGTTTTGTGCTGAAATTGAATTTGAATATGAAAGGGAAGATTGAAGAAATATGGCATTTTAAGGGAAGACCTACTGTATATGTTACTAACAGGGTTATTGGTCATAGTAAATAACAACAGAGTTGCTGGTATTAGCTGCAGGCTTCCACCATCAAACTCCAGCTAATAGCATCAGCTCTTTGAACTGAAATTCAATTACAGGCGTCTCTGCCGGCCACACCTCACCGTCACAACGGGATAATTCAGACCCCCCAGCCATTTGAAATTCACTCAGCATCCTAACGTTATGCTTTTTTATTTGTAAACGATGAATCTTCTCTTTGAAATGCCTGTCTCGGTATCCCCGACGTCCAAAAGTTTGCGACAGCAGAAGTGAAGTGCGTAAAGTACCTGCCTTGCCTGCGAGCATGCAATCTTCAAAAGAGCAATCACTTGCGTCTCTTTTTTTTGTTGGAAATTGGCGGAACGATGTGTGACTGTTTCCTTTTGTTCTTGCTGAAAAGAAAGAGGGGCCGTTCTTTTTCATTTCTTCACATGTTTTGACCTATTAAGTTTTGAAGGGCAGCGGCGAAGAAACATTTTTGAATATTTGAATATTTATTGTTTTGCTCGATTTTTTTTTCTTCTGCTTCTCTCACTTGATCACATAATTGCTTTTTCAATCTGTGAACCGTATAATGCAAATGTCAAGAATAAAAGTATAGATCATGACACCTCTACCTGATGAAAATGAGTTTTGATTTACCGTTTGTGATTTTCCTCTGTGGGGTCATTTCGAGATGCTCTGGAATGCTTATTAATTACTTCAACATGAATAAATAAATTTGTAAAAGCGTTACGCTTGAGGTTTATTACTGATATGATAAGTCATAAAACAGAGTAGTTAATCTGTGAACCGTATAATGAAAATGTCAAAAATAACAGAAGAGATTATGGCAGCTAGATGAGTTATGATTGGAAATTTATAATTACATTAGTAGAGACAAGAAAGTTAATTAATTAGTAAAAGAAAAATGGATCTGTGCAAATGTCAGATTTCCAGTAAAGCTGTACAGAGAATGCATCCAACTGGAAGTGCAATTGTATATATTTGTAATATGAACTCTGAATTTTTTTACAGTTCTCTAAATTTTTTGATTCATCTTAAATCATTCATTCTTTCAATTTACTTTATCTTAGTCCCTTTATTTATCAGGGGTCGCCACAGCGAAATGAACCTCCAACTTATCCAGCTTATGTTTTACGCAGCGGATGCCCTACAAGTCGCAACCCAGCCCTGGGAAACACCCACACACTCTAGCATTCACAAACATACATTCATTCATTCATTCATTCTTTTTTTTTTCGGCTTAGTCCCTTTATTAATCCGTGGTCGCCACAGTGAAATGAACCGCCAACTTAATCAGCATATGTTTTTATGCAGCGGATGCCCTTCCAGCTGAAACCCATCTCTAGGAAACATCCATACACACTTATTCACAGTCATACACTCTGGACAATTTAGCCTAGCCAATTCACCTGTACCGCATGTCTTTGGACTGTGGGGGAAACCAGAGCACATTGAGGAAACCCACAAGAACGCTGGGAAAACTCCACACAGAAACAGCAACTGACCCAGCCGAAACTCGAACCAGTGACCTTCTTGCAGGCAAAAGCACTACCTACTGCGCCACTGCGTAGCCCACACAGTGCTCACACTAAGGGCAATTTAGCTTATTCAGTTTACCTTTAGCACATGTGTTTGGACTGTGGGGTAGGACTGTGCGATTGATCAAAATCGAATTTCAATTGAAACGCTGTTATTAGCAAGGGGCTGCGATATAAAATATATTTGTGTTATTTATTTTCCCCTTCCCAGATCAAATGCGTGACTGCCGTCTGTGTGTGATAGTCTTACTTCTAGCAACTGAGTGAGTACAGTTAAGTGATGAATGTCTTGTTAAAAAGTCAACTGAAAGTAAAACCAGTGAGACACAATGCAGTAGCGAGCAACAGCAATGTACAATTGCAGAGTTTTTTCAGCCATGTTAGTTTGCTGAGTGTTCTGTATTTTTATAAGTATTATTTTTTGTTGTTATTAAGCTATACTATCTCCCCGATTTGAGTTCAACTTGTTTAAAGAAAGGTACGATCATTCAATATTTAAAAATAAATTTGAGGAAATCCTCCACACCCCCATCTGTGACAGCCTGGTTTGAAGATGTGATGTTTTTTCAAAAACTCAAAAACTAGAAAAGATTTAATACACACTAAAAGATTCGGTAGACAGGTTCTATACGTACTGTGAATCTATTTTATCATATTTTAAAAATCTGCAAGAATTCACCTGTGGTTAAATAATCTGTACATCTCTTTGTATCCACATCATGCTGTTTCTTGTCTTTATTGTAATTTGTCCTGCAATTTTTTATTTATTTATTTATTTTTCTTCCCGTTATTTGTGAAAAAAAATCTTTCTCCTTCTTCCATCATCACTGTTATGTTACGACATGCATGACTTTAATTACTTTATTTGACTCTAACTATTGTGTTAAGCTGCCTTTAGATGTTCAGTTCTTGGGGTGGGACTTGGGTTAAAACCAAAAATCGAGAAAGGAAACTATAATGTTTATTGTTTTATTATTGTATGAAAACATTTCTTTGATAAAAATAAATAAATAAATGAATTAGAATAAATGTTTAAGGAAGTTAATATCTTTCAGTTCCTTTTTTTTTAAACTAACAATCCCTGCATTTTAGCCGTAAGAAGCTACGATGCAGATTATTGAGCTGAAGCTTGACTACAAAATTAAATAGCAAATCAAATCAAAATCGTAATATCTGTCAAAAAAAATCGCAATTAGATATTCTCCCCTAATGGCTCAAACCAGCAACCTACTTGCTGTGAGGTGACAGTGCTAACCACTGAGCCACTGTGCCGCCCAAATCATATATCTAATTATACATATATAATTTATTTATGCTTTTGAATTTTGAGTTGTAACTTTGATCTTTCATTCTTTTATTGTAGAAAGGTTTTAAAAGTGACATTTCTATTGACAATTTGAATAGTTTAAAGTGATGTATTGCTTAGGTTGGTTTTGTAAATTGCCACTACTGCTAATTTATAGTCTTTATATACAATATATTAAGTATGTTATATGCAATTCATAACCATTTACAAACTGAAAAAACCCTGTGAATCACAAAACACAGAACTTGTTATTTAATTTTTTTTACAGTGTATAAAGCTCGTTTTTTTTTTTTTATTCTCAGATTGTCCACAAACGTTTAAACACAAAGCAGCTTTTTTAGCAGCATTCTGCTTGTCTTGTCTCTTCAAGAAGGTTTAATACTTGGCTCTGTCTATGTATTTATTCAGCTTGAGTTTTGAGATCATACGGGTTTTATCCATTCCAGTCGCTAGAAAGGAATTTCCTGTCCACAGACGACATGGACTGATTCTCTCTCTGTGAAGTTATGTGAGGATCTGAGGTAAATAGGCCTGTTCTTGGAGTTAACTTCTCTTGCCTGTGACGGTGTTAAATAGTACTTTGCCCGTGGTGTCAGAGCCAAAGGCAGAAAATCCTTAATCACAGCTTAATTAAGGAATCATCTTGTAGCTTAATTTCTTTCCCAACACTGTAATTAAACATTTCCAATAAGTTTGGTCACAGGGCTTAACACAGGCAGCGAGTCTGTGATCAAGGTGGGTCCAGGGACTTGCTCTCTGTCTCTTTTCCATTCTCTCCAAAGGAACGAGCATAAAATCCCACAGCAGACACTTGAAAGAATTCAAAATGAGAAACTGCGCATTGGAATTACAAGGAATAAGGCTTTTAAATGGAAGAATATGAGCAGCTGCTGCCGGTGCAAGAGCCAGATTGCCCGTCGCTGTCTGGCTTCCAGATTGTGCTGCAGTTTGACTCTTTGTACTGAAAAATCCCTGAACTTTGATGTCTTTGTACAGGTGAAATGGGTGGAAGTGTTAAGGTGGAGCAACAAGACAGTGACGGACAAGAAGAGAGAGTCCAGTCCAGCCCAGTGACAGCAGAAGAATGGGACGGCCCAA